CCATGTGTAACAATCAGGGAGAGATATCCGGCCGGTCTCTACTATATTTAGTTACAATCAATCTCTTATCAATCTCCTATATTTGGTTAGGATCTCCTATCATCACGGCATGATATCAAATCCCTGATTGACTTACACGGCAAGACATGAATACAATATTTGTTTTAACACAGGTTACCCCAGGAAAGCTCTACATATGTTATATATAAATCTGTAGGGCTGCACACAAAGAAATAGATACAATTTTCACATTCAAGAGTTAGTTAGAGGAGGGATGGACCAAAAATGGGTGGAGAGAAATTTTGCCTCTTTAATATTAGGTATATCTACAGATATAGATATTAGGTATAGACTAGCTACTATGAGGTGATCACAAGTGACAAAGAAAAGAGAAAAGTAAAAAAAAAAACAGCCAGGTGCCTTGCCAGGCTAACCTTTACGACACTTCTGCGATCTAGGCTGTCACCTTTGTTCACCAGCTTCTGCGTTTAAGTGTGGCCCGGTCCGGAAAACGGTACATGGGCTTGGTGGGCTATAAAATATGTGCACGCCAAACAACATTGACAATTCTTGTGTTTATCGGGCTTGCAAATGACTCTTCCACATGCTTCTTTCCCCAAGCTATAGTAGATCACATGCGAATCCCAGGCAATTTCCAACTTCTAGCGTCGATTCCTTCTCGTCCCCGGTGGCCACTTCAGCGCTGGGGATGGGGAGGAGTTGCGGAGTGTATATACCCTTCCTTTTAGCTTTTGTTTGTGTAGGTTAGGGTTAGGGTTAAGGTTGGAGTCTTTCCCGAGCTTCTCCGGTGTCGGCTATGTCGATGGTGGGCGGGTTCTGGTGGTGGTCTGTGGGCGGGAGGACCACAACGACAGTATCATCTGCAGGAGGTTTGGCATCGATGATTTTTCTCTGTTTCCTTCTTCTGTGTCGGTGCTTGAATCTTCTGTGTGCTTCTTTGGGTTGTCTGTGGCCTTCTCATCAATGGCAATGCCGAATCCGTGACCTACAACATGGCTGTTGTTCGAAGGAGACTTGGTGGTTTTACCGATGGCGTTTTCACCGGGATTTTGTCCCTCCGAGGAGGTTTCCCTTGGAGGTTATGGCTCCACTTTGACCCTGTATGTGGGCTGGTGTTCTTGGATCCCCTTTGTGGGATTGTTGCTTGTTGGCCGGAGCTTGCCGGTGATGCGACTGGCGTCTGTTTCCGATGAAAGTAGGGTTTGCCCAGGGCGTTCTCAATGTCAAATCGGGAATCGACTAGAAGCTTCATTATGGATCTTCTTCATTGCGGGACATGGAGGAGGACCAGGCTGCGGCAGCGATGGTCGGCGATGGTGACAGACACTGTGTAATAATGTACTTATGTGTAATTTTATTTTCTTTCAGGGGTACCCGGTCAAGGGCTTGGTTGTAAGCGTTCTATGGCCCTGTTCGCTTGGAGGAATTTAGAGAAATCTGGAGGAATTTGTGAGAGAGTGAACAGTGAATTTCAGCCGTGAACAGTGAATTCCGGCTGAAATTCACACCAGCCGAACGGCCCGTATATCAATAAAATCCAACGCTATCTCAAAAAAAAAATCTTGTGTTTATCGTGCAATTCTTTTCTACATATCCGAATTTCCTTTCCACGTCCTCTGAGCTTATGAGTCTCATCCAATGGTTAAAACCAATTAATGGAAAACTATTAGCTCAATTATTCTGAATACAAATAAAGTGGTCTTATTGAATCTACTACACCACTCATTTGTTTTTAACTCATCCGAGCTTATGGAAAGTGGCAGAGGGTAAGGTGAAACATATCTTGGTGTGCTGCATGCATGATGAAGGTAGAAAGAGACAGAGACCATTTATAGTTCATTTTCCCCGAAATCCAAAAGCTCCTAAAGTTGTGTGAGACGTCTTTTTTGTGTGTTTTATTTATCTTTTTTGTTTTTTAGTTTCTTATTACAATTTTTATTAAAAAAAATTGGCATAAAGATATCCCATTATAGGTGCGTTTGCGAAAAAAAAGATATACCATTATAGTTGTGTTTGCGAAAAAAATGTGCCCTGAAAAATATGGAGCAAATAATTTAGCAAACATATTCAGAACTCAGCGTTATTCTGAAAGACTGAAACAAAGTAACGCCCGCTGTATGTATATAATTACTTGGGAAAAAATATATGGTCATTCTTAGCACTGTAGCACTGGCATTGGTTTGCTTTTGTAATTTTTTCTTTGCCCTGTGTCTACTTTACAAAATGGCGGGACAGAGTGACAGGCTACGCGGTGCTCCTGTCTACAGTCTACTCTCGAAAATGGCAAGGGCTGAGCTTGTACAGACTACGCAGTGAGCCAAAGGCCAAAGCAATGGCACTCCGCAGCTCGGACCGTCGTCGTTCGGTGCGTCATGTGCAACGCAGCACACACCTTTGGCATCTTTGTACGTATCGCTTTGCAGACTGACGACCTATGAGGCTACGACGGAGGAGCCCGACGACGTGGAGGACCTCGCTGTCGCGCGCGTCGATCAACCAGATTTATATACCTGGTTTGTCGTCACATGATCACCACATATAAATATGAAGGTAATACTACCATTAACATTAACATGTCCAGAAGACCGGATGCATTGTTCCACATGCGCCGCTCACCTAAAAACACGTCTCACCTAATAAAATCAACTCCTGTATGCTTCGTGCCGCTCCGCTTCCACTCTTACCCCTTCCACGCTCCTCTTCCCCTGCCGTAGCGCACCAACGCCCGACATCCTCCCCCATCGGGAGTGCCCAACGCCGGCATATCCGGTGGCCATCTCAACCACCCTGGTGAGATCCATGGAGTAGGTGGCGAGTGGAAGATCCATGCAGGGAAGTGGGTGGCTCTCCTCCACCCCGACACACCACCCTCCCCACCCTCGGCGACACCGTCTCTCACCCTAGCGACCGAGCTCTGGATCCTCCCATCTCGGCGTCCATGGCACTCCTCGTCCTCCATTCCCATCGTCGCCGCCGATCCAAGTCCGGTACTGGTGGTGTTGGTGGTGGTGGTGCTCGTGCGCCGCCGCTCGCCTCCAGCATCGACCCCCGACGGCTGGAATCGACCGGCCCAGGCTTTCCCTCCCCTATGGAGCAAATGTATGTTTCAGGTGTTTTAGTCGTTTCAAAGGTATATTGCAGTTGTTTCTTATGGATGTTGCAAAAGTAGATCGGGGGATGTTGCACATGTTGCATATGTTGCAAGTGTTTTAGAAGCATGTTGCAAGCGTTTGATGTTTCATATTTTTCTAGACATATGTAGCAATTTTTTTTATCTAGATGTTGCATATATGTTTTTACACATATGTTGCAACAGTATATTACAAATATTTTAGCTGTTTCAGTCTTAGGTTGTAGTAAGTGTTTTTTCATGTTGCAATTGTTTTTATTTGGATGTTGCATATGTTTCCCAAACATGTTGCAAGCGTATATCCCAAATGTTTCATCTGTTTCAAATGTATGTTGCATTCGAGTGTTTCATGTTGCAAGTGCAGACCACCGGCGTTGGTGTCCATGAGGGCGGGCAGGGCCAAGCCGCGGCCACCGACGAGTGGAGGAGCTTGCAGGCCACCGCCGGTGGTGTGGGGGAGGAGGCACAGGCCGCGTGGTGCTGTTGTGGAAGAGGCGAGGCATCTTCTGGGTGGCCTGAAAGAGACGGGCGTCGCGCCATTGTAGAAGAGGCGGGGGCAAATCATCCGATAGCGTGGGTAGCGGATCTAAAGAGGGTAGTTCGGATGCAAGCACGGGGAACAGAACTGGCATAGGCGGCGCGTGAATCCAAGTGGATGGGGCGGAACAGCAGCGAGCGTCCGGACAGACGCAGGCGTTCAGACGTCGAGGCACTAGTGCTGCCATAAGGTGGCATTTGGATACGGGATATAGAGAGTGGGATAGGGAAAGATAAATGAATAAACAGTTAGGATTAAATGAGACGTAAATAATGGATGACTAAGATATAATATTATCATTTGGAAGGGTGTGATATCTCAGTGTCATCCAAACGTCACCTAAAAAATTAATATTATTATTATTGTTGGTCTGAAATTAACACACAATTTCAGGTTCGGGTACCTCTGTCGGCAGGGTACCTCTGTCTCTTGGTGTTCGGCGTGACGGTAGGGGACATCCCAGAACGCTGCCGGGAAGCTTCTGCGGGTTTCTGGTTTCTCCAGATGTATTTTTTTAGCAAAGGTTTCTACAGATGGATGGAAGTGGGAGCCGAACGTAGGGAATCAAATGAGGGTTTTAGCGGTATGCCATTAAAAAAGATGATCGTTATCTATAAGTTACTAAAAAAATTCGAGCGCACCTAGGTGCCATTCGTCGGAACTCTTTTGTCCTCTACGCTATTCTGTCCACTTTTAGCTCTATAACGGTGTCAAACTGTAAACTGTAGTGAAAAATGTCTAAACTACCATCAGGTCTGCTAGCATAAGTGTATGCAATCTTTTAATCTTGGCCGTGGATCCGGAGAGGAACGGTGCAGGTTCATTGCCAGTATAAGTGTATTTCTAAAGTATTTCTGAATTTATTTTTCTAAAGGAAAATGACAGTTTAAGGTGTAAGCATGACTTCACGGTGAGGTCATCAAGCTAGATCTCGGTACGTATCCTTGTAATCTCGTGATGTATCTGTTGTGCAAGTTGCAAAAAGCAATGGTTGAAAGTCCTGTTCGCTGATTTACTGTGAGAGAAAAATACTATGCGTTCACTGAAATAGTACGGCTCGTAAGATAAAGGAACAGGACCTAAGGCAGAGTTCCCTCTGCTGCTGGCTCCGGGCGCTCACGCGGCGTTGCGCGCGTGCGTGCTAGGAGGGGTTGCAGCTCTTGTCGCAGAAGCTAGCGAGGACGACACGCCGTGTAGAGCTGCGCCACCCCATCCCGAGCCAACGCCGCCGCCGCGGTAGGGTTCGACACGCTCATGGACGTCTAGTTCGGTGACCCCAATGGGAACGACGTCGGCCCGGATCTCGGCTCCATGGTCTCCGCCACGTCCGCCAACCTCGGGGATGACTCCACCGGCAGCGTCGACCTCACCAGCGAGACGACCGTCAACGCCTGGATCGACTTCCGTCCCTCCGATTTCGGTGACGGGAAAGGCGGCGTCTTGGAGGTGTTCATGTCCTACGCGCCCAAGCGCCCGCCCAGGCCCGTGCTGTCCGCGCCGCTCGACCTCGGGGAGCACATCAAGGACGCCGCGTTCGTCGGATTCTACGCCTCCACATAGGGGAGCACGGAGACGCACGCCATCGAGCACTGCAACTTATCCACTGCGTCGCCTTCGCCATCACCGCATTCGGCACCCGCCGCGGCGCTGCCCGACTCTACCCCGGCGCTCCCGCCCCCCGTTGGCAACCCGGTGCTCCGTCGCCGCTGCTCCCAGGAGTGACAACGACGGCGCCGTCGCCACCAGCTGCCTCAATGGGTGCAGCCGCGCCGGCCGGCTCGAACACGCGGCCGCCACGAGCGCCCCGCCCTGCCCCACGGCCACACGGGCCGTCCTCGGTGCCTGCGTCGCGACCACCGCTACGTGCGCCCTGCCCCGCGCCGTGGACACACGTGCCATCCTCAACGCCAGCAACGTGGGTGCCGCGCGAGTGGCCCACCCCACCCCCGCGTGGGCGAGCTCTGCCCCCCGGACAGTGGACAAATGAGCTCTCCCCGGCCACGTTCTTGAGGAGGAAGAAGGTGCCCAAGTCATTTCAGCTTGGCCCCACCGGACAGAGAGAAAGAAGTGAGAGGATAAAGACGTGAGAGAAGGGTATGTTAGACATTGTGATTGGCTGGGCCCACATGTCAGGGCTGCCAAACGGTGGAAATCAGACGGAAGGTGGACGGAATTGCATGTGGGGCAAAAGAGTTAAAGTTAGTGGCACCGAGGTGTGTTCGAACTTTTAGTGGCATGTAGGTCTAGATCATATTTTATAATGACACACAGGTAAAAGCCTCATGAAATGACCCAGATTGGCCTTTCCAAAAAAAAAAAGCCAAACCAGAATAGAGGCCTAGTTATGGGTCCAATTGACTATGCTCTTGTATGGGCTGCATTCCCATTTTCCCTCAAAAATCCTTAGGCCAAATTGGGCTAAACGTACTTTTTTACCCTATATTTGTAGAGATTCCTCTAAAAAAAGCTGAACTAACATTCTTTTATTCTTTTTAAATAAACAAAAAGGAAGACAGTCAACTGAACGCCTCATATATTTGTAGATAAAATAATAATAGATAGAATCCGACTTAGGGCCTGTTAAATTTTGGTATTAAAGCCGGCTGATTTCGGCTGATTTAATAGTGTTCTGTGAGGGAGAATAAGCTGAAATAAGCTGACTCGGCTGAAAAGTAGTTCAAGCGAACAAGCCCGACTCCACACACTGAGTTCAGAACACTAAAAGCAATGCAAAAGAGAGAATTATATTCTTGGCCCTGAAAAAGTTTAGGCTTACCTTCTTGATCTCCTTTTATTTTTGAACTTACCTATGTGGCCCCAAAAATTATGTTTGGTTACTTATATGGTTCTTCCATCCATTCTGTTAGCTTTCACCGTGAGGCAACCCTACAGAGGTATGTCAAAAGACAAAACTACCCTTACCTCTTCTCTTGTCCCCAACGCACTGAAGCCGATTTAGATCGACCAGAGAACCGCACAGAGATGGCGGGTGAGGTGCTGGGCATGGCCGCTGTGCGCCTCCCTGCGCGGCTGAGGGTGCAGCTGAGGCGCTCGGCGCGGCCCCCTACGTGGCTGGCCTGGGCGCCGGCCAGGGTGCCGGTAGGGCACGGACGAGGGGGCTGGGTGGCCCAGGTCGCGGCTCGAAGCAAGCACTGCCAAGGATCAAAATCTTCGGCCTGATTTTCTGTATGGGAATCTGGCTTCTTATTAGCACCAAAGAGGATGGTTGTGACTCATAATCATAGCTGAACATTCTTGTTTTCCTCAAGTTCTTGTATAGTCGTAGTATACAGTGAGAATAAGAAAGAAATTTACTTTCCTTTTTTTGAAAGGCTAATCTTTAGTATAATAATAATCTAGAAGATATCAGATTCTGTTTTGTGGTTGATATGTTGTTAGGTAGATCAACCTGTGATGGCTAAAGGATAAAAGAAGGTAAACTCTGCACTGATTTTTTTTCGCTCTGGCGGCAAACTTGTCATTTCACCCTTGACTTAAGAGCAGCACCAGTGTAGGCGAGAATCGAACCGTTGGGAGTGAAAAGTCGAACCGAGCCATTGCAGCAGCCAAACCATCAGCCTGTTCGTTTCGGCTGAATTGGCTTATAAGCCATGGCTGAAAGTATTGCTGGCTGGTTTGGTGTAAGAGAAAAATACTGTTCAAAGTCGTGGATTATAAGCCAGATACGAACGAATAAGCCGAAACGAACATGTGTGTCAGATTTGAAATCGGACGTTGCAGAAGAGTCGAACCAAGGTGAATAAAAAAAATCATCTCTCAATTGCAAGATAGTACTACTAGATCAGCAGCGGTAGATTCACAGCCTATCCAGAGCTGACACGTGAAGAGAAAAACAAGAGTAGGAAGCCCCACAAACCGATGTTCACGTTATGGCCATCGAACCCTCTGACCGAACACTGTTTGAGCAGAGTAAAATCGATGTTTACACTGGAGGTGCCCTAACACCAGAATGGATGGAAGGGCCATGTAAGTAACCAAGAATAGTTTTTTTAGGTCAAATAGGTAAGTTCAAAAAAAAAAAAAAAGTAAGACAAGCTTTTTTCAGGGACAAGAAAATAATTCTTCTCAAACTAAAAAGCCATCTATGCGGGCATAATGTATGGCTCTTGAGTTACTAACTGCTTTGTAACATAGTACGTACCTACAAAATAGTTTTCGGTAGTCCATTGATAAGCACAGAGTTATTTGTTTCGAGCCAAATAACCCAATAAACAGTCGCAGCCCTTGTCTACGGGATATGATATTTGGTTTCCGTCCTCCAAGCTTCGACCCCTTATCAAATATTGTTGATATTAATCGGTAAGCAAAACCCCCAGAAATACATGGATGTGCTTTGCCAGGTGGAAAGGAAAAGACGAAAAGAGAAACTACCGTGAGTTAATTAATCACAAGTAACAGAAAGAAAAAGCGAAAAGGGAAAAAAAAATACCCAGGTGGTCTTGCCAGGCTTCTGGAATCTATGCTGTCACCTTGTTCATCAGCTTGGTTTGGCCCGTTCCGAAAAATGGTAGATGGGCTTGGTGTGCTTTGAAGTATATGCATGCTAAACAACATTGGCAAGTCTTGTGTTTATATCATGCAATTTTTTATAAATTATATGCATGATTTTCCTTTCCACGTCATCTGAGCTCGTGAGTCTCATCCAATGGTCATACTCTTGTCCGATTACTGACAGAACAGAACTTTTGATCCTATATAAACCAATGCTAGCTGGACCGGCTAATTTATACACTCAGGCCTTGTTTGATGCGCATGTATTCATCCCAATCCATATGTGTTGATGTGGATTGGACTGAAATTAAACTAAATTCCATTCCATTTCATTCTAACACATGTGTATTGAAGTGAATACACATTCATTCAAACAAGACCTCAATGGTCGTCGTGAAGGACAGGGCTTGAGTGAAAGAAAATTCGTAACCACTTAAAAACGATAGTCGTGAAGGACAGGCCTTGAAGAAAGGAAAACTCGATCTCTGACGAAACTGAAACTCTGAATTGTTTCAAAATACAACATTTACACTTGCTCACACATATTATGCATAACCATTGGAAGGTACGTAGATCTAAAACTGCAACAAGAGGACATCTCAAATAATGTAAGTACGTAATTAAGCGCTTCACAGACAACACGCTAATTAACTCGGCGGGCGGAGAGGATGCCTATCCAGTGTCCAACATGCATGCAGTGTGAGCTAGCGGTGATCTGGACGTGACGTCAATATGCATGCATGTGAAGAAGAGGCGCACTCCACTTTTCTTTTTCTTTTGATTGACTCGGCGCATTCCAGTTTCGGATGGCGTGGGTGGGATCACTGATCGACACGTCGTGTATCTCTCTCTCTTCCTTGTGCAGCGTGGGAGGGGAAGCATGCAGGAAATACATCATCGGCGTGCCGGCGTGCTGGCTTGCTGCTCTCCATCGCCGAGGGAGGCATCAAAGCAAAAGCAACCAAAGGCGACGGGCTAGGCCGGTTCATATATATATATGGACACCTAGCAAAATTACGGTGACCATCGTCAAGCACGAGGAGAGACGTGGGTCTGTTATTTGCTTCCCGGTTTCGATCTGGCTCGCTACAAAGATTTGCCCAATCGTTAACGCACCATTAGTATCCGAATCACCGAAAAGAAGCCTGCAAGTGAATAAGGGTCTCACGACAATGAAATGGCCGGCCTTCTTACTGTTACTATTGTTAAATTAGAGGCCTGAATAAAGTCTCCACGTTAATCCTCACCAAATATGATAAAAAAAATAAATGCTACAAATTTTCACATTAATCAGAAATATCTAGCCATTATTTAAGAGACTCGAACAATCCTTAACCATTAGATCTATTTTGTAATCTAAAGAAATTATTCACCTCCGCAATTATATAGAGAAAAACATTTCTTCAAGGAAAAAACGCCGGCAAGGTGGTGGCTCCAATAGAGATCCTCCTCCCGTGCTTGCGCCGGCACGCCGTCAATCCTCCACGATATGCTCCGAGCGCGCGCGGCTCCCCAACCCCGCCCTGGTCATGGCTGCGGCCCTCCGCAGTGTCGTCGGCCTCCCCCAAGGCCACCACCGAGGGCGTTGTCCCGGGGATGCGGAGAGGGGCAGCGGCTACGTGGCATCTACGGTGGACGAAGCGGAGTGGGGTGGCGGCACGTAGAGGCCGATGAACCGGGCCGGAACGCAAGAAAATGGGGAAAGCGTTTGACAATGAGGGATTGGGGATGAGGGAATTTTCGTAATTTGCCAAGTATATTGGTTTTGACGCCCGGTCCAACAATAGCAGTTTGTTTTGGACAAAGGGAATACTTCTATATATTCTTTGCGATAAAGCCAGAGTATAACTCCCATTTTCATATTAAAACAGATTCGACACAATTAAACCGGACGACCCTGCCGAAACAATGCAATTCTTTGTTTTTTGCTTTGCCTCGTACAAATGCTTCAAAGTTTAAACACCTGCGTCTGTACACATTCTGTGCTACTGCCTAGCCAGAGCAAATAATGTACAAGATTTGGAGCTTGGTGGTAGATTCTAGTTTTC